GGGGCCGCCTGCCCCTGCCCGGCTCACCCACGGCCACCGGCACCTCCGCCCTGCTGAGCCCCACAGACTCGGGGGGAAAACAGCCCAGACTGACCCAAACTCGCTGGGGGCTGGCAGGGGGGTCCTGGGGAGGGGGGAGCGGGGACAGCTCGAGGTCTGGCCTTGCAGGGCAACCAACAGGCAGATGGCACTGAGCAGAAACCAGTCCTCCCAGTACAGCCTGGACTGGTGCCGGTGCCTTTGCTCGAGCCAAGACTGCCACCTAGTGAAGTCGGGGGCCCCTCTCAGCACCCCCTGGGCAGGGTGGGTGCTGGGTGCCCCCAGGGGGGGTGGGAGCAGCTGAGGGATGTCCTGAACGCGCATGGGGCAGCCCCACAGGAGCCTCCGGTCAGGCTGCAGGGTCTCCCGATAGGCAGGAACAGGCACCCCGTCCACCCCGGGTGAAGCCCTGCCAGGGCCACTGACAATCCCACGGGAAGGAGCATTTTGGAGCAGGCCCTGGTCTGCAGAGCAAACCTCCAGCAGCCGAGCGGGACGGTCCCCAGGCAGGAGACCCGAGCCCGGCGTGGCAGGTCCGGCTTCCCAAGCCCTGGGTCGCTTCCCCAAGCCCAACCACGGTGCAGGCGTTCCAGCGAAATCCTCACCCAGGTCAAGGAACCACAAGGGCTAATCTAATGTACACACAGATGTGTGGTTTCTCTTGTACTTCCATTTACTAGCTCAGCTTTAAGATCCTAAGTGACTGCTGGAACAAATCCTACAGCCGGCCGGGTGCTGAGCGGTTCCCTGGGAACTTGCTGCCGGCAATATTTCCATTTTATGGGTCTGATGATCCCAAACCACGGGCTCTCCCGCAGCCCAGCACGGCAGATACCGGAGCAGCTTCCCAGCCACCACGGGCCCCAAGTGCGAGCTGTTGAATTAAAGGGTTTGGCACCGAAACACCCATGCAAACAAACATAATGGTGTTATTCACTGCAGCCAGCTCGCACATTGTCCCCAGAGCCAGGAGAACTCCTTGGACTAGCCCTGGATTAATCTCAGGGAACACAATTAACACCCATATAAGCATTACGACATTTTTATCTAACTGCCTTGAAGGCCTCTGAGATAACAGATCATAAACCTGCCTGGGGCTCCCAGGGCATCCGAGGCACACGGACCCGGCAGCCCGGGAGCAGGTTGCTTGCCGGGAGCACTCCCAGCCTCCTGCCCTACGAGGCAAACCGTCCACACAGCCTCCAGCTGGGAGTGGAGGTGATCATCGTGACACGTTTCCTTCCTCTCTTCTGAAAAACCAAAGGGTTTTGGCAAGTGTCTTCGGACAGATTTGTTTCAAGCGATAAGACGCAGGAGAGGAAATTACAGCCGAACACAGTGTGGTCCCCTCATGGCTGCTGGCTGCCTGCCACCGCCCCAGCAGAGACACCCCCAACGCTTTATCAGCCAAAGAGATGCCGAGCGTGAGCTGGGCCAAACTCCGGCGGTGTCCAGCCAGGCCCTCGCACCTCGGCCTGTGTCAAAGACGACGTTAAAGTGTGGGG